ACACATGCCTGGATACCCATCCACTGACCCAGGCCACGCCATGTCGCCTGACACTATCCACTGAATCTGGCCACACAGCGCCGGATACCCATCCAACAACTGAACGCACATGAGCCCGGGATACCCATCCACTGACCCAGGCCGCGCGACGGCGCTGACACTTCGTCCACTGACCCAGGCCACGCTAAGCCAAGACCCATCCACTGACCCAGGCCATGCCATGAGCCGCCCTGGATACCCACCACTGGGACTCCAGCCGCATTGCATGCCCGATATCACCATTGACCTGAGGCCGCTACAATGCCCGGATACCTGTCCACTGACCCAGGTCAAGCACACGATGCCCGACATCATGGATACCCATCCACTGACCCAGGCCGCGCTACGATGCCCGGATACCCGTCCACTGACCCAGGCCACGCTACGATGCCCAGAGACCTGCCCACTGAGCTCTTGCCCAGGCTCAGCCACTGTGGCCTTCTGTGCTCAGTCCCTCCTTGGCCTCCACGGCACCCTCTGGTCCCACCAGCTGGCCCTGATGATGGCCAGCCTGTCTTTTCTCTGGTCAGCAGCAGGTCATGGGTTTTAAGGAGCTTTTCTAAAACTGAACTGCACTGAATTTAGAAAACCAGGATATGAAGAAGGATATGAATTGATTGGACTGAACCAGGATAGGAGTTGATTAGATGTTAGTTTACTAGGACTTATTGTGAACTGTCTGAAACTTTTATGTAGAAAAAAAAAACTTAGTGATATAATTTCAAATCTCATGTGAAATTGTAATCCCCAGTGTGGGAGGAGGGACCTCGTGGGAGATGACTGGATTATGGGAGATCTCCCCCTTGCTGTGTTTGTGAGAGTGAGTGGGTTCTCATGAGATCTGGTTGTTTGAAGGTGTGTAGCATCTCCCTGCTCTCTCTCTTCTCCTGCTCTGGCCACCTAAGATGTGCCTGTGTCCCCTTCCACCATGATTGTAAGTTTCCTGAGGCCTCCCAAGAAGCAGAAGCCTGTATAGCCTGCAGAACTGTGAGCCAATTAAGCCTCTTTTCTTTATACATTACCCAGTCTCAGGTAATTATTTTTTGTTTGTTTTTTGAGACAGAATCTCACCCTGTCACCCAGGCAGGAGTGCAATGGTGGGATCTCGGCTTACTGCAACCTCTGCCTTCCAGGTTCAAGCGATTTTCCTGCCTCAGCTTCCCGAGTAGCTGAGATTACAGGTGCCCGCCACCATGCCCAGCTAATTTTTGATATTTTTAGTAGAGATGGAGTTTCACCATGTTGGTCAGGCTGGTCTTGACCTCCTGACCTTAGGTGATCCACTTGTCTCAGCCTCCCAAAGTGCTGGGATTACAGCCATGAGCCACCACGCCTGGAGTCAGGTAATTAGGTAATTCCTTTTTTTTTTTTGAGATGGAGTCTCACTCTGTCACCCAGGCTGGAGTGCAATGTTGCGACTTTGGCTCACTGAAACCTCCACCTCCCGGGTTGCAGCAATTCTCCTGCCTCAGCCTCCTGAGTAGGTGGGATTACAGGTGTGTGCCATCATGCCCGGCTAAGGTAAATCTTCATAGCTGGGGGAGAATGGATTAATCCCCTTGGCTTTCAAACATGAAAGCAGTCAAGAAGGCAGGGGCCTGCCCCACCTCTCCACATCCCTGTCTTGTCTGGAACTGCCTTGGGACCAGCATATTACACAAGGTGATGTCCACGTGATGGCATCAGCAAGGATGAGCTTTCTGTCTCAGTTAAGAGTAAAGACCCTGGCCGGGCGTGGAGGCTCATGCCTGTAATCCCAGCACTTTGGGAGGCCAAGGCGGGAGGATCATAAGGTCAGGAGATCGAGACCATCCTGGCTAACATGGTGAAACACTGTCTCTACTAAAAATACAAAAAATTAGCTGGGCGTGGTGGGTGCCTATAGTCCCAGCTACTTGGGAGGCTGAGGCAGGAGAATGACGTGAACAGAGGAGGTGGAGCTTGCAGTGAGTCGAGACTGCACCACTGCACTCCAGCCTGGGTGACAGAGTGAGACTCCATCTAAAAAAAAAAAAAAAAAAATGGAGTAAAGACCCTAACCCAGAACCACCTGGAGGGCCTCACTTCCTTCTTGTTCAGTCTGCACTGTGCTCATGAACTTTGCATTGCTTTGAGGCCTCAGCAACAGGGTCCTTGAGCTGAGCTTCCAGCTACAAAAGGAAGATGCGCTTTTCATTAACACAAAGGAAGCACAGCCTCACCAATTAGATCTTCACCCAAAGAACCTCTAAGAGAACAAGACCTGGAAAGACCTTTGTATTTTTTCATCCTTCATCAAATCTTATCACAAATTAAAGTTTCTGAAATACACTTCAGGGTTCTGCTGAAATGGTCCGTTAGTAATAAAGCAAGTTCAAATTTTAATTTAATTTGATACTTGAGATTAGATTTCAAGAAAGGAGACTGATTTGTGAAAACAAGTACTTCTTATATCTGCAAAACACTGATTCACTTTTTAAATGCATGATTTCAAATGCACACAGAAGAGAGGGTAATGAACCCCATGTGCCTGGCACCCAGCTTTGACAGTGAGCAACTCAGCCGAGCCTGCTTCATCTCTGCCTACACCCAAACCATTAGAGAGCAAATCCCAGGCAATGTATCATTGCATCCATATGTGGAATGGTAATCCTTAGTTAGGGGTTTCGTTAACTCAAGTGGCAACTGGCTACAACAATAAATATATTTGGGTTCCAAAATAAACCATCTAAGAAAACAAATAGGTATTCTGTGGCTAAAGGGCAAAAAGCCCTGAACCTGAAAGGAACATGAGCATATGCTTCCAGGCCTTCTCATTCGTGGAGTTCATTAAGTAAATTTTCATATAATTTTTTTGAGACAGAGTCTACCTCTGTCGCCCAGGCTGGAGTACAGTGGTGCGATCTCAGCTCACTGCGACCTCCACCTCCCAGGCTTAAGTGATCCTCCCACCTCAGACTCCTGAGTATCTTTCTTTTCTTTTTTTTTTATTTTTGAGACAGAGTCTTGCTCTGTTGCCCAGGCTGGAGTGCAGTGGCACGATCTCGGCTCACTCCAAGCTCCACCTCCCGGGTTCCTGCCATTCTCCTGCCTCAGCCTCCTGAGTAGCTGGGACTACAGGCACCCGCCACCATGCCCAGCTATTTTTTTTTTTTTTTTTTTGTATTTTTAGTAGAGACGGAGTTTCACCCTGTTAGCCAGGATGGTCTCAATCTCCTGACCTTGTGATCCACCTGCCTCAGCCTCCCAAAGTGCTGGGATTACAGGCCTGAGCCACTGTGCCCAGCCGATCCCTGAGTATCTTGTACCACAAGTGCATGTCACAACCCCAGTTACTCCTTTTTTTCTTCTTTCTTGGTTTTTTTTTTTTTTTTTTTTTTTTTTTTTGAGACAGGGTTTCCCTCTGTGGCCCAGGCTGGAGTTCTGTGGCATGATTTCGGCTCACTGCAACCTCTGCCTTGAGTTCAGGAGATTCTCTTGCTTCAGTTTCCTGAGTAGCTGGGACTACAGGCATGTGCCACCACAGGCTGGCTAATTTTTGTTTTTAGTATAGACGGGGTTTCACCATATTAGGCTGGTCTCAAACTCCCAACCTCAGGTGATCTGCCCACCTCAGCCTCCCAAAGTGCTGGGATTACAAGTGTGAGCCCCTGCGCCTGGCCACAGTCAGTTTTTTGTACTTTTAGTAGAGATGGGGTTTCATTATGTTGCCCAGGCTGGTCTCAAACTCCTGATCTCAAGCCACCTGCCCACCTTGGCCTCCCAAAGTGCTGGGATTAGAGGTGTGAGCCACTGCCCCTGGACTTTAATCCAATTTTAAACTAAGCATTGCTTAAAACATGTCACTTATAAACAGCAGAACACTTAGAACACCCAGGGCAGCAGTTCTCAAAGTGGGGGCTGAGAACACTGGAATCCTGAGATTTGTTAGAGCATAAATACACTCTACTTACTTAAAAGTGAGTTTTAAAAACTTAGTACCACAGGAACCTCTTTGAATAATTAGCTTCTGTAGAAGCCAGGAGTTGTTTACATACTTCATCCAGAACAGTGTATCAAAACAGATTAAGTGCAGAAGCAGACATGAGGATCCAAGTGTTTTCTATTAAGCCAGATATTAAAGAAACATTAAAAATATGGCCAGACGTGGTGGCTCACGCCTGTAATCCCAGCACTCTGGGAGGCCAAGGCGGGCAGATCACGAGGTCAAGAGATTGAGACCATCCTGGCCAACATGGTGAAACCCCATCTCTACTAAAACTACAAAAATCAGCAGGGCATGGTGGCGCACACCTGTAGTCCCAGCTACTTGGGAAGCTGAGGCAGGAGAATTGCTTGAACTAGGGAGGTGGAGGTTGCAGTGAGCCAAGATCACACCACTGCACTCCAGCCTGGTAACAGAGTAAGTCTCTATCTCCAAAAAAAAAAAAAAAGAAAAAGAAACATTAAAAACATTAAAATGCCATTCTCACTAAATTTTTAAAGAAATAGTTACTTTTCAGTACAACTGTTATGTTAATATGTAATGGGTTTTTGCACTGAAAGAATTCTCAGCTTTGATTTCTGTTATGGTGCATATTGAGGTCTGTAATCTATGTAAGTAGAAGCTCTTTGGGGTCCTTTATAATACATAAGAGGGTAAAGGAGTGCTGAGGCCAAGACATGTCAGAAGCACTGGTTTAAAGCAAGTGGCTTGAAGAGTCCTAGGCTGTGATTTGCCTTTCTGCTGCCACTGGCCTTGTATGGACTGCAGATGCTCTTACTCACTTAAGCCAGGCTACAGCACAGCACAGCATAAATACCCTCTACTTACTTAAAAGAGAATTTTAAAAACTTAGTACCACAGGAACCTCTTTTAATAATTTTACAGATAGATATTGAGGGATGAGAACAACATACATGGTTGGCAGATCAACTTACTTGGTTTCCCAAAAATTTAAGATCCATTTTAAAGTAATTTACATAATGCAGTTCAAGTTTTCAAAGATGTTTTATTAAGATCATACAACGTACCCCAGAGCTTAAAGTATAACAATAAAAAAATGAAAGAGAGTTCAGTCAATACCATCGCTGAAACATCTAAACAGCTTCCTCTTTCTGAGCTTCGTGGATCTTCAGATCTCCTGCCGCATCGTGTTGACTTTCTGCATGGCCACCTCCATCTCCTCCTCCTTGTCCCACACCTTCTGCTTCTGGGAGCAGAGCTCTGCCACCAGCTCACTGAGCTCCAACAAGTCCTGCAGGGCCAGCCTTTGCTGCTGATGGGCATCTTTGAGTTCTTTGGCCTGGGATTTCAGTAACTCTGAGGCTTCAACCAATTGCTGAAAAAAAAATAATCACAATTCTAGATGTTTTATGTTTGCTTAACAAAGGCCTGGAAGGTTTAGTCTTACACTATATTAAAGAGTTACAAGTGACAGCCAATGCTGGTTACACATTAAAGTCAAAGATTGGAGAAATCCCCTGCTTGGAAAAAGCCCTGTGCTCACCTCACCCCAGCCAGATATGCAATGGGGAGACCACCTGGGCTCAGGGGCTGAGCACCAACCCCACACCAAGCAAGACCCTGCAACTGCATGGAGTAGCTTCCAGCAGGACAGCTGGCTCTGGAACGCCAACCTCTGCCTGATGTCATCTACACAAGTGCAAAGGTGAATAAAGCATTTGGGCACTCAATCTAGTTACTTAAACATAAGTGGAAACAGAAATACACACACATACACACACACACACACACACACACACACAAAGTACTTAAGATTTAAATCAGGCCAGACACGGTGGGCCATGCTTGTAATCCCAGCACTTTGGGAGACTTAGGAGAGAGGCTCACTTGAGCCCAAGAGTTCAAGACCGGTGCCTGGGCAAAATGGTGAGACCTCATCTCTTAAAAAAAAATAAAAAAGAAGAAAGAAAAGAAAATTAAGAAGAAAAAGATTTAAATCCAAGTCTCCCTGGGGGGAGAGCCACAGCTGGACTTACCGTGAGATCAGCTGCACTGACAGCCCAACCTTACCACTTGCTGCCCTGATGACCCTGACCTCCGTGCAGCTGATCTACTCAGCAATCCGGCTGTTTAGTCGCCGTCACACCTGCTGGACTAAGACTGGAAGTGAGGAGACGTGGAGCAAGCTGGCAGGGCAGCCCCCCACGGGGAGGAAAGGCCTCCCCAGGCCTCTCTGCCCGGCTGAGTTACTGTGACTACGTTACGCAATGAGACGCCACACAGCCCACGCTGCAGTCCCAGACAAGTCCTGCAGGGAAATGACACCACAGATGATCTCAAGAAGCAATCTGAGTTTAAAATCTGGCACGTTTTAGAGGACAGATCACAAACTATAGGTCCAAGGACTTAAGTGTATAAATGAATGTATTTTAGAAAACAGAACCTAATTGTGTTATTACTACACTGGCATTTGAACATAAAGTTTCACGTATATTACTAAAAACCAAATGTATAACGGAGTTATGGGGGAAATACCCATATTTTACCAAATGGTCTCTTTTGCAGCTCCCTGTCATCACAAAGACACCCCTTCTAAGAGCAGGGGGGCATAGTGGAGAGAGAAGGGGGAGTCATTGGTGTCAGGCACAGCATGTCACTGTAGATGTCACAGACATAGTTCCTCATCAAAACTGGCAGGGGTGGAGGAGTTGCTGCTTACTTTGTGGGGTTGAACTGGAGAAGACAGATGACTGTGAAGTGGGTGCCTGCCACACGCAGGACGCTAGTAGGCAGCCATGACTGGGAGCCAGGCTCAGCCAGCTGACACGAGCTATGCAGCAACCAGCTGGTCCCTAGAACCAGGCTTGGCCCTGGTGTCCGGCATGCAGCAGGGACAGCCCATGAGCAGGAGTCCCAAAGAGGTCTTTAAACATCTATATGAACTCAACCTCACAAAGCTCTGCAAAGTCTCGTAAGCCTTTCTCACCCAGAACCGAGTCACCTACCTCGCACAGGTCCTCCTTCTCCTGCCGCACCATGCTGCCTCTCTGGCCCCACCAGCTGCTGCATAAAATCTTGGCAAAGTGTCCTTGTCCTCAAGTTGTCACTCAAGCCTGTTTGAATCTAAGCAAAAGAGGAAATCATTTGTGCTCCTTTCTGTGTACTGACTATATGTAAACTTTGTTAGCTGACTTACTGCAAGGATTTAATAATTGACAAGTTTTTTTTTAGTACTGTATACTAAATAAAATACACAAGGCAGCAATACTTGTGTATTTTACACAAGGCAAGGCCAGTATTTTACACAATACACAAGGCCAGAAATACTGTCTACTACAAGTCAGTTATGGAATCATAACTTACCGTAAAAATGGGCACGTCCAAGACTCAATTTTTCTTTTGTCATTTACAGTCGAATAAATATTTTGTTGCTAATTTTCCACACTCTCTACTGGGAATATGTTGCTTTTATAATCGGAAAAATAAATATTGAAGTCATGTGGCGTATAACGATGTTTCGGACATCAGACAGCATATATAACAGTGGTCCCATAAGATTATAATACCATATTTTTCTTGTAGCTTTTCTGTGTTTAGATACACAAATCCTTACTGTATAGGTCTGTAGCTGAGGGGCAATAGGCTGTACCACGTGGCCTAGGTGTGCAGTAGGCCGCTCCATCTAGGTTGGTCTAAGTACACTCTATGATGTTCTCATATCAACGAAATTGCCTGATGATTTCCGAGAACGTACCCCAGCCTCTGAGGGACGCATGACTGTACTGAAGAGCACCGTGTGATACGGGCTACAGCTGAGTTCTGTGCATGATGTGGTTGGAGCCCTGAGGAAGGGGAGAGCTGTGGACTGAACTGTGTTCCCCCCATTATTAGACACTGAAGCTTCAGTCCCCAATGTGACTGTATTTGGGGACAGGGCCTATAAGGAGATGGTGAAGATTATGTGAGGTCATAAGGGTGGGCCCTGATCCAATAGGATTTGTGTCCTTATAAGAGACCAGGGAGCTTGAGTGCTGCCTTCCCCCACCCTGTGGGAGGACATAGTGAGAAGGCAGCTGTGTGCAAGCCAGGACAAGAGGCCTCTGGGACTTTTAGCCTCCAGAACTGTGAGAAACTAAAATCCTGTTGTTTAAGCCACTCAGTCAATGGTATTTTTTTTAGGGCACCCAGAGCCAACTAAGATGGAAGGATTTACCCTCCTGGGGAGAAGAGGAGGGGGCTAGAGGCCTCCTCAAGTTTCCCTGGCTCTCCACAGAACTCCCTCCCTGCCCCGCCTCCTTGTGCCAAAACATCCTTCTAAGGGCAGACCTGATCGCACTGTTCAGAGGTCCCCAAAGTCCACAGAAAATCTCAATTCCCGGACCTCATGAGTCCCATCCCACTGGGGGAGCTCCCTCTCTCTTCTCTGCTCTCCTCTCAGGAGGGAAAGTTAAAGGCCTCCTTGACCATCCTCTAGGGAGATGCCATGATGGGGTGCTGAACCCTGGTGATGAGCTGGGGGAAAGCCAGCACGTCTCTTCTGGTGCCGTTCCCAGAACTGAATACATACTGTTAAGATGATCTTTAGGAATGGAAGAATCAAACTGGGAAGAATCCCGTGCCTGTAGTCCCAGCCTGCAAGAAAGGCTGAGGCAAGAGGATCACTTGAGTCCGGGGGTTTTGAGTCCAGCCTGGTCAACATGGTGAGAACCACTGTCCAAAACATAAATAAATAAACAATAAATAAATAAGGAAGAACCACGTGACCGTTCCAGACTCCTTCGATATGGGTATTGTGTCCACACTCTGGTCTTCCCAGGACAGGGCTGTGCCTTCCCCTTTCCTGGTGGCTGTAAACCCCGTTCTTCTCACTAAAGAGAAAAGAAAAAGTGTTCAAAGCACTTTGAGTTACGTGAGGTGTGCAGAATGCATCAGGCCGAGAGAGACAGGAACGTGGGACTTCACATATTCAGTCAGGGTGTGACTTCAGGCATTTTGTTTCTGATTAGCTTTATCTTCCTGCTACTGGAATTTGTGATACAAAAGACAATACAGAGCCAATAAACAGTTTATGTTATTTTAATGTACATTCCTCTGGCCAGGCCAGCCAAGGTGGGAGGCTCCCTTCAGGCCAGGAGTTCAAGACCAGACTGGGCAACACAGCAAGACTCCGTCTCTATTATTTAAATTCTTGGTAAACAATTTAGAAACTGCCCCTTCTTTTCCTTTAAAAACCCATTTGTAACTGCTGCTAATTAGAGTGTATATTAAGGCAACTTGCATCTCCAGGGTTGCAATTCTCAAACTTGGCCCAAATAAACTGGTGTTTTTTTTTGTTTTTTTGTTTTTTGTTTTTTTTTGAGACGGAGTCTCCCTCTGTCACCCAGGCTGGAGTGCGGTGGCACAATCTCGGCTCAGTGCAACCTCCACCTCCCAGATTCAAGTGATTCTTGCGCCTCAGCCTCCCAAGTAGCTGGGATTACAGGAACCCACCAACATGCCCGGCTAATTTTATTATGTTTTTATTTTTTGTAGAAACGGGGGCAGGGCGGGTCTCACCACCTAGACCAGGCTGGTTGCAAACTCCTGACCTCAAGCAATCCTCCCGCGGAGGCCTCCCAAAGCACTGGAATTACAGGCCTAAGTCACTGCACCCAGCCCAACCTCTCCACCTATATTAATTTTACCTCTGCTTCTTCCTTTTTTATAATTTTTTGTTTGTTTGTTTGTTTGTTTGAGACGGAGTCTCGCCCAGGATGCACTGCGATCTCAGCTCACTGCAACCTCTGCCTCCCGGGTTCACCCAATTCCCCTGCCTCAGCCTCCCGAGTAGCTGGGATTACAGGCGCGCCCACCATGCCCGGCTAGTTTTTGTATTTTTAGTAGAGATGGGATTTCACCATGTTGGCCAGGCTGGTCTCGAATTCCTGACCTCAGGTGATCCACCCGCCTCTGCCTCCGAAGTGATGGGATTACAGGCATGAGCCACCGAGACCCAAACTGGGAAAACCCAAACTGAGACCCACTTTTTCCTTTCAGATCACAAAAGTGATCGAATCCCGCCACTTCCCGGGTGCCGGGTGGGAAGGTGGGGTGATTGCAGTGCTGCTGAGAGTTGGGTAGATGCCCGGAAGGCCTCTCAAAGGCGGCCCTGTTTGCAAAGATCTGAATAAGGCACCTCCAGAGAAGCCGGCCTGGGGCAACTGGGGAGGAGGCAGCGAAACAAGTTCGTGGTCAAGCCACTGCCAGGCTGAGAGCTTACTTACAAAGCAATGTACCCTGACCCACAAAGGCGCACCAGCAGCTCCAACCCAGCTCAGAGGACCCCCAGAAACGTCTCAGCCCACGCACTGCCCTCTGACCGCACGACCTTCCCGCCGCTCCTGCATCCAATCAGAGGGCCCCCTCTGAGCCTGCTGCCTTCCCGCCAATCCTGCCTCCAATCAGAGGGCGTCCCCACTACGTTTATTGAGCAACAGCCAATTGAAACTGGGATCAAAGCCTTGGCCCGCCTCCCCAGAGCTCTGGACCAATGGTGGCCTGGCACCAGCGAGCCAATCCCAGAGAGCGTGCGGTGGGAGGCTGTAGTTGGACGTGTGCAGCTGCAGCGGCCGTTTCTGTCGGGTAGTAGCGTTGGACTGCAGCAGCGGCGGAGCTCAACATGGTAAGGCCTGGTCACTCCTAACCCGCAGACCTCCAGGCTGGAGGGTGGACGAAGTTGGTCTCTTGAGGTGGCTGGACGGAGGGATGCTGTTGCGGGTGCAGAGAGGAGGCCAGAGAAGGACGCGGGGCCCAGGGCGGGACACGGGGTCGTCTACTGGGTTTGCAGGCTCCAGGGCAGGGACGGCAGCTTTTGTTTTAGAGGAAGCTGCCGGCCTTGAGTTGTTGGACGGGGAGCATTGACGGGGTCCCGTCCCCCAGACAGCAAACAGCGCCTGAAGAGGGCGCTGCTCCCGCTTTCCGGTCTCCAAATGTCTCAGTGCTACTGGAAACCAGTGAGGAACCTCAGGAGCCTTAGCCGATGGAGGCTGGGGCTGTGGACATTGGTCAGATCAGCAATTAAAGCTCAGACGCTGCTAAAACATTGCCTCATTCACCTAAAAGCAACACGGTGGGTGGGCTCGTGGCTCACGCCTGGAATCCCAGCCCTTGGGGAGGTGGAGGCGGGGGATCCCCTGAGGTCAGGGGCTCCGCACCAGCCTGGCCAATATGGCGAAAACCCTTCTCTACTAAAAATACAAAAATTCCCAGGGTGGTGGCGTGGATCTGTGGTTCCAGCTACTCGGGAGGCTGAGGTGGGAGGGTCGCTGAGCCCAGGACTGACTTCCGGGCTGCAGTGAGTCACGGTGGTGCCACTGCACTCCAGCTTGGGTGGCAAGAGAGACACCCTGCCTCAAAAAAAAAAAAAAAAAAAAAACCAACCAAAACATTCACATAAAGAAAAGAACAAAACCCAAGTCTGAATAGCTATGGCCGGGGCTGTGCAATATCTTTTTAAATTTAAACATTACTTTTTTTTTGAGGCGGTTTCAACAGCTCTGTTGCCCAGGCTGGAGCACAGTTGCAGGATCACGGCTCACTGCAGTCTTGAACCCCTGAGCTCCAGTGATCCTTCTTCCTCAGCCTCCTGAGTAGCTGGGACTACAGGTGTGTGCCACCACACCTGGCTAATGTTTAAATTTTTCGGCTGGGTGCGGTGGCTCATGCCTGTAATCCCAGCACTTTGGGAGGCCGAGGCGGGCATATCACAAGGTCAGGAGCTCAAGACTATCCTGGCTAACACGGTGAAACCCCGTCTCTACTAAAAATACAAAAAATCAGCTGGGCGTAGTGGTCCGTAGTCCCAGTTACTTGGGAGGCTGAGGCAGGAGAATTGCTTGAACCCGGGAGGCAGAGGCTGCAGTGAGCTGAGATTGTGCCACTGCACTCCAGCCTGGGTGACAGAGTGAGCCTCTTGTTTCAAAAAAATAATAATAATTTTTTTTTTCATAGTTGCCCAGGCTGGTCTCAAACTGGTCCCAAGCGATCTCAGTTCAGCCTCCCAGGGTGCTGGAATTATAGGCGTGAACCACCACACCCAGCTTGGCAGGGTTTAAAGAAACCATTAAAGGACAGTGCAGTGTCCCAGCACTGATGACGTCTGGGAGCCATTACACTCCTAGGCTTCAAGGGGTGGAGGGGAGGGAGTGCTTACAAAAACTTGAGAGGGTTACTTTATGAAGAGGGCCACTTGCGAAAAGTGTGGCCTTGATGGAGGGATTTGGATCACCCATGAAAGTTGAGCAGGAAGGGGCCAAGGGGAGAGTACCCTGATGCCTCCTCCAGCCTCCTGGTCTCCTGCTGCTGCCTGTCATTGAACAAACCAGCACGAAGCCAGAGGGCAAGATAGGCCTCTGACACTGTCCTCATGGGTCAGCCTCTGGGAGCAAAGAGCAGGTGGTGAATGATGGAAGGTAGATCTGGGGGTGCAGAGAGAGGACACATACTGAACACCTGGGCTTGGACCACAGTGACCTGGGACCTACTCTCTATTTCTTTACCCAACCTGATTACCTTATCCTTTGATCAGGACATAATCAAAAACTGCTGTGTACTCTTCAGAGCATTACTGTGACTGGCTATAATGTGGGGTTGATTATTGGCATTACATGGCTTCCAAGTTTTAAAATAATCTAATTTTTGTGTAGTGGCAAACGTTAGGTTCTAGGGCTACCTCTGGAACTTAGCAGCTAGGATGGTTTAGATCAAGTAAGTTTTCACAGGGATTAAGGGGTCAGTCACCTAACCCTCCTAGGAAATATCAATTGTGAAAGCACCAGATACTGAAGCACTATACGAATATTAAATTAGAATATTTTGCATGCCATATAGCTTCAAGTTGCCTTGAAATGAATGGGTCTACATTTATGTTCCGGTTCACAGCGCGAGTGTATCTCTATCCACGTGGGGCAGGCAGGTGTCCAGATCGGCAATGCCTGCTGGGAACTGTACTGCCTTGAACATGGAATTCAGCCTGATGGTCAGATGCCAAGTGATAAAACCATTGGTGGCGGGGACGACTCCTTCAACACGTTCTTCAGTGAGACTGGGGCTGGCAAGCACGTGCCCAGAGCAGTGTTTGTGGACCTGGAGCCCACTGTGGTTGGTAGGTGCTCGGGCCCTGGATGGCAGCTTTCCTGGGAGGATGGGAGAGCATCATCGGTAAAGCCCCATGTGGGCTCCTTTGAATCCTCCTGCAGAAGGTATGAGATAGACAAGCATATGCCCATGGTGTTGTTAAGAGAGAAACTGAAAGGTTCACGATTAAAGTGTCTGTGAGACTCGGCTCCTCATTTAGGAAAACCTGACCTACAGGGAAAAGCTGCTTTGGCAGCAATAAGATGGGCTGTGGAGACATTCCCTCTGGCTGCCTCAGCCCTGCTCAGGTGGCCCTGCCTGCAGGGCACAGTGGCATTGGTTCCCTCCTGAATGCTGTGCACTCTCTTATGCTGGTGCACGGGAGTCTTGACCTGCATCTTAGGCATAGAAGGTTAAGTATAGCACAGTCATTTGCTTCCTCCAGATTAGTAGCCCAAGGTAGTTTCCAAGAAGAACTGCAAAGAGACAGCCCCTTTCAGTGGCCCCATATGAGATGACAGTGTCACCTGAAAGCCTGTGGGGCCCAGGCCACACAGGATGCCCTGATGGGACTGCTGCAGAAGTCACATTGACCTGGTGACTTCCCAGTTTGTAAGAGTTTTAACTTGCAGCCTTTGATGTAGCTACATGTAGGAAAGAATTATGTACCTGTAGAATTACCTGTGTGTGGGTGCTACAGCTTATTTCCCTTCACTGGGAACTGGTAGTGCTGACATTTGTACTGCAAGCTGAGTTTAACTTCCTAGAGTCATAAATTGCAGTTTGATTATCACACATTTGCACTTTGGTTATCACACAGAGACATTTTCTACCAGACCCTGCCACTGTTGAGCTACAACATGTAGGTCATGTACTTTGAACAGCATGTACTTTGTAGAAGTGAACAGTCCTGGAATGTGTTCATCTTGGTGAGTACAGGCCTTAAAGATTCACAGTACATTCGGTCTCTTTTGTAGATGAAGTGCGCACAGGAACCTACAGGCAGCTCTTCCACCCAGAGCAGCTGATCACTGGGAAGGAAGATGCGGCTAATAATTATGCCAGAGGCCATTATACCATCGGCAAGGAGATTGTCGACCTGGTCCTGGACCGGATCCGCAAACTGGTAAGAAGAGAAGGCTTCCTGTGACCATTGTCCTGCACAGGAGGATAGATCTTGGATTGTGAAGGGGAGGTCATTTTGTCAAAACTTAGACTAGCACTTTGGCCAGATCTGGTGACTCATGCCTGTAATCCCAACACTTTGGGAGACCAAGGTGGGCAGTTACCTGAAGTCAAGAGTTTGAGACCAGCCTGGCCAACATGGTGAAACCCTGTCTTTACTAAAAATACACAAATTAGTCAGGCATGGTGGTGCCTGCCTGTAGTCCCAGCTACTCAGGAAGCTGAGGCAGGAGAATGACTTGAGCCCAGGAGACAGAGGTTGTACCGAGCCGAGCTCATGGCATTGCACTCCAACCGGGGCAACAGAGTGAGACTCTATCTCAAAAAAAAAAAAAAAAAAAAAGAAAAAGAAAAAAAAAAAACTTAGACCAGCGTCTTGAGTCCGATTGAGTCTGCAGTGGTCTTAGTCTGAAGCATGCATGGTGATTTGTCTGTAGATCTTTGTCTGCTTTTCTTTGCTTCAATGTGTACTGTGTGTTTATTATGGATGATTTGAATCCATATCAAGTCTTCAGGGGCAAAGAGAAGTGGCCCTGGCTTGGTGGAGGTTGGTGGTGTGGCTTCCACGGGCATTGGCTCACGTTGTCTGGTTTCTCTCAGGCGGATCTGTGCACAGGACTGCAGGGCTTCCTCATCTTCCACAGCTTCGGGGGCGGCACTGGCTCTGGGTTTGCATCTCTGCTCATGGAGCGGCTCTCAGTGGATTATGGCAAGAAGTCCAAGCTAGAGTTTGCCATTTACCCAGCCCCCCAGGTCTCCACAGCCGTGGTGGAACCCTACAACTCCATCCTGACCACCCACACAACCCTAGAACATTCTGACTGTGCCTTCATGGTTGACAATGAAGCCATCTATGACATATGTCGGCGCAACCTGGACATTGAGCGTCCCACGTACACCAACCTTAATCGTCTGATTGGGCAGATCGTGTCCTCCATCACGGCCTCTCTGCGATTTGATGGGGCCTTGAATGTGGACTTGACAGAATTCCAGACCAACCTAGTGCCGTATCCCCGCATCCACTTCCCCCTGGCCACCTACGCCCCAGTCATCTCAGCCGAGAAGGCCTACCATGAGCAGCTGTCCGTGGCGGAGATCACCAATGCCTGCTTCGAGCCAGCCAATCAGATGGTCAAGTGTGACCCTCGCCATGGCAAGTACATGGCATGCTGCATGTTGTA